GGTGGGGTCACGTGGCTGCAGCTGTGATGATGAGTCACGTGATGCGTGTAACTGACGCTAAGCCCGGCCCGGGTTTTTCCTTATGGCCGAGGCTGCTTTTGCGGTTATCTTGCAGCGGCGGCTCGCCGAGTTAACGGAGAGGCTGAACCGTTGGCGAGAAGGCGGAGAGTTTGGCGGTAAGAAGTGATGACGCGGCTCCGGGATCTGACCTGAGACGGTTCTCCCTGGCCATTTCCACGGCATGGCAGACCTTTCATTATTGGTCTCTTTTCCATTGGAGAGACCAGGCTGGATACGAAGGGTGGAGGAAGAGCATGTTTTCTTTCTTCACGACGTGCTCTTTTGAATGAGTTGGATTGGGACGCTCTTCATTTCTGGAGCAGCCAACTGCCGTGGTGTGATTAGAGAATTGAATCTTGCCTGATTCACACCAAAGTCACTTTTCCAGTGTTGTCTTTATTGTTATTGTTTACCTCTGGAAACCCCACGCGGAAGATGCGCCCATTTTGCAGTTTTCTCCTTTCAAAAGCCGGGTTCACATGTTTGGATATAAGCTTTCATATGTTTAACTGTACTTTATTGAACGATTTGCAGTGGCCTGGGCTTGTACAGCATTCTTAGCCATAGATCCGGTTTTGCAAACCACAAACTGGATACATTTGAATTGCAAAACAACAAATATTGTAAAGCAATATGCATTGCAAGTATACACTATTGTGTAGGTCTCGGCAACTCTGATTTGACAGCCCTGCAGTTTGGCTGAGCAGCCACTGGGGGAGAAAACTCTGTATGAAGAAACTCCTGTTCTATTGCATTTACAAGTTTTTTTTCTCCCTTTTTAAGATGAGATTTGTTTAGTCTACCCAGGCAATATATAGAACTGGTTTCTGACTTCCAAATTCTTTATTAGGTAGGCAGCACCACCCCGGAAGTGCCTCTATTGCTGGAATGTTGACTGTACCATAAGCAAATGTTATTGAAAATGTCATAGTTTCATTGAGTACTTCAGTCTCAAACACTTTATGATGGGTTTGTAAAACCAGGTCAAACATGTATTGGAGTCTGTGGGCAAGATTTTTATACCCAGGAAACGGGGTGTATTTATAATCAAGTGAAAAGATACATGGGATCATAAAATTATAATTCTGAATTATAAAGAGACAATGTTTAAAAGGACCCAGTTGCTATGATGTACCCACTAAATCTATTGGCTGAATGTCAAATCCTAACTTCAACTACCGCTAGCTACTCCAACCAACTTTTTTAAGAAGCCTATCCACAGGTGCAGCATTGAAACTATTCTTATGTACTTACAGGTAATCCTTGCTTAACTATGGAAATTAGGACCAGAATTTCTGTGGCTAAGCATGTGGTCATAAAGTGAGTGCAAATCGTTAAACACTGATCTCAAATGACCACAACTTCTGATTTTCTCCAGCTTCTCACTTTGCTTAAGAGAAGCTGGCAGGGAAGTTGCAAATCATGATCACATGAATGCAGTAGCTAATGAGTAGTCATTACCCAAAGATCACCTCTACTTGCATCTTGTGCTTGGTAAATAGTTACTTAAAACCAGTATCCCCAAAGTCTTCATCCACCTCTTCATGAAATTTCAGATTGTTTATCAATCACTAAAATTTATTATATGAAAATACTTTAATAAATGAAAACTACTGCTTTTTAACTAATAATACTTTGAACAATAATCATAATGGTAATCTCATTGACCCTTGAGAATAGATAGCGACCTCTATGGGGAACATTACTTAAAACAATATTTAGATAAATTATTCCATAATACCTTAGAACTTGGTTCCATTGTCTTATTTGATGGCACCCTTAACTGTCTCCTAGAATCTGTGGAAAGTCAGATTTCACTTCATGCCATACTGGCATTGGTTCCAAATTGCTGGAAATCCTTTCTGGAATTGCAGTTCCAATTCTGTCCACCGATTTAACCTTGCCTGGTTCATACTAGTCACTTTTCCAGTGGTTTTTTTTTATTGTTATTATTTACCTCTGGAAATCCCCACAAGCAGGATATGAAAGCAGTAGTTTTTCCTAGTTATAGTTCCCCAGTAATTGTCAACGCAAGAATATTCAGTATTAGCTAATATTGAATATTCTTGCTTTGACAGTAATAATATCCAGGGATTTATGCACTCTTGATTCTTTCAGTCAATATATAGCTGTTGTGACTTGTAATTTACTGACTGCAGGCTACAGCTAACTTTGTAAGCCCCAGTATTTTATAGTAGAAGTTTTTTGTAAGTAGGTATACATTGAGCTTGTATTCTCTGACCTTCATATCATATGGATATTTTGCTATCACATTTTGCTCTTTAAAAATAGCATTGCTAAACTTTGATTGCATAGATAATTTTGCTCTGTTTTACTGGGATATGAAATGTCTTCTGTCAACAGATGCTTTCTTAATTCAGGCCTCTGCTACCCTGGAAAATCTAGCAGAACTTTCGGAAGAATCCAGGGACAACTACACATATTCTAGACTTATACAACTTTATACACAGGTATTATGAATTAAAGAATTTTCATCATGCTTGTGAATATGGTTCATTGAAACCAAAATATACTAAGCTTACTTGATAACGGAAGTTAGGGAGACATTCAAAACAAAATATGAAAGGAATTTTGAACCAATTGATTACATTCTCTTACCAGTTGTTTTTGAAATAGAATACAGCTAAAATTGATGACACTAGGAATAAAAAAAGGTTTGTATGCTTAAATATATGATTAACCCAGACCAACCGGTCTATTCTTTGAACTAGTTATTAAAACATTAAAAGTCAACTGAATGATTTTGGATTGCAAATGCACTGTGAAATCTTCATTTGATTAAAGCTCTTTTCAGTGCATTTTTTTTCCATTTTTGGCAAGAATATAGGATATATTTTGCAAATAACATATTGTTCTAAACAGGTTATTAAAACTGGTAAGAGCTTGTAGCAGTTTAAAAACCTGCATAAGTGCTATGCTATCTTTGTGCATCTTTGCAGTAAATCTCCAACTTGGCAACTTTTCAGACATGTGGACTTCAACTCCCAGAATTTCCCAGCCAGCATGCTAGCTCGGGATTTCTGGGAGTTGAAGTCTACATGTCTGCAAGTTGCCCAGTTTATGAAACACTGGAACAGTCTGAGGCTCAGGGCCACATAGGGCCCTACTGTTCCCCAAAGTCCTTAAACGTTGTAAGTTAAAGATTTAGGGCAGACATGTCATACTTGCAATGTCACGTGACGTTGCGTGACTTATAGCTTTTTACCCATTACCGGCAATGGGATGGGCACAGTTTCCTTGTGACGCATCCGGCCCGTGGGCCGGCAGTTTGACACCCCTGATTTAGGGGAATATTAGTAGATCCATAATTAGGACATTATCATACTAGACAGTTAATAAAAAAGCAATTCTGTTTTTCCCCACCCATTTGTTGCCATGCATTGCCTAGCACAGCACTCAAGAAGCCAAATACCATGCCAGTGCAAAAGGTTGCTCAGTCTATGGTTAGTTCTTTTTCTGCTCTTAGATTTGCTACAGTGTCTTCTCCATGACTGTTCCAGATGCTCTCAGTGCAATGATTTGATTGGAGCACAGGATAATGGCCAATGGGCTTTTTTGTTTGGAGAACTGTGGCTTTTCCTTATGATCTGCAAAAAAAAAAAAAATTCTAGTTGCAAAGCTGTGAACCCTACAGTAAATCGAATTCAGTTCAAACTGATAGCCCAATGTTGCACAGTTTTTTAAATAGCTGTCTTACTAATAAGGGAGAGTGCCCCCATTGAAATGCAAAGAAAAATTAACTTAAAATCCATCTTTTATTTAATGCAGCCATATTTCTTGGTCAATCAACTGTAGTTAGGAAGGTCTAAGCAGGCTGCATCTAACAAAATCTAAACTCTTCCATCTCTTTAAAGGCACTATTAGATATCACGTATTTTGAAGAAAACCAACTTGTTGATGAAGAGTTTCCAGAAGAATCATCTCTGCAGAAAGTTGAGGAACTAATTGGTGCACTTTCTGAGCCAGAGAACCTGGTCAATGAAAGTGGCATTTCCCAAGAAGTGAGTATTAAGCCAGACATAATCACTCAGATAGACGTTTTGTTCAAGAATATGATCAACATTGATGATCAACATTGAATAAAGCCCTTCCATTATCAAATAACCAATCTTTCATTCCTGCACTCTTTATTGTATATTTTGCAGCATTCATATCCAGCAGTATGTTTCTCTGTCAGATCAGTATAAACTAGCTTAAGATCCGATTGGCTTTTGTGTGCCATTTAACTTCTTTTTAACTTTTATCAAGTAAAAAACCCATGTTTTTAACAGTTGGAATTGGTGTTGTAATGCCTGTGAGCACCATATGCCATTTACCTTATGCCCTGTTGACTTACAAATAATAACAGTTTTTAAGGTGAAAGATAATGAAAAATGAGAATAGCTTTTTCAAGATATCATGAGGCTGGCTTTATAGAACTTTTAAAGATTTAGATTTCTAATACTAACTTTTTAATATATATTTTAATATTTTGACCACATAATGCTAGCTGAAATTGTACAATAAGAAAGGATGCTGATCCCTATTAGGAATTTGCTCTACCTACATGTTTGAGGCATCTGTCTTCCTCTCTTTTATATGAAGCTCAAGCTTTTTCACTGATGGGCATCTTTTCCTAGGCACTTGAAGTGCTTGGAGTTGAGTTGCTGGAATGCCTTTATTGGAGAAGAGGAGCTTTGATCTACATGTTTTGCCACACAGTTAAAGGAAGAAAGGAATGGCTGAGGAAGGAGACTGACTTACTTAAAAAGGTACATTTTCCCATTCCATCACAATAAAAGTATTGGCCCCTCCTGCAAGAATGATACCTATTTTTCAAAATAAGTTCCAGGGCCAATTACATGGACTGGCACCAATTGAAATTTGGGCTATGAGAAATGGACAATTCTTTAAATGTTTTTCCAGTACAGTTTTTCCCTTACACCAGTGTTTCTCAACCTTGGCTACTTTAAGATGGGTGGGCTTGAACTCCGGGAATTCCCTATGCAGAACGAGAACACTGCTTTGCAGAATGGACCTGATCCTGACTGAAGAAAAAATACTCTGTGTTCCTCAGATATATGGATTTCAACTCCCAGACTTCTCTAGCCAGCATTTTCTCATTGCAGAGAATTCTGGAAATTGAAAGTTCACACACCTGGAGGATGCTCAGGTCGAGGAATGTACGATAGTTTTTGAAGACAGGACCCAGTGATCTCCCTCAGTAGAAACCAAGTGACAAAATTAGTGGACCAGAGGAATGCTGTGGATATAATTTACTTGGACTTCAGTAAGGCATTTGACAAAGTAGATCACAACCTACTACTTGATAAGATAGAAAAATGTGGGTTAGACAGCATCACCACCAGATGGATCCGTAGCTGGCTCACCGACCGTATTCAGCGTGTGGTCCTCAATGGAACCGCATCTACAGGGAGGGAAGTGTGTAGTGGGGTGCCCCAGGGCTCTGTTCTGGGCCCAGTGCTCTTCAACATCTTCATCAACGATCTGGACAAGGGGATAGATGGGGAACTCATCAAATTTACAGACGACACCAAGCTGGCAGAAATAGCCAACACTCCAGAAGACAGGGTGAGGATACAGGAGGACCTGGACAAACTTGAACACTGGGCGCTATCTAACAAAATGAAATTCAATGGTGAAAAAAGTAAGGTTCTACATTTAGGCAAGGGGTACCTTGCTCAATAGTAGTAACTGTGAGAGGGATCTCGGAGTCCTAGTGGACAATCATTTGAATATGAGCCAGCAGTGTGCTGCAGCTGCCAAAAAAGCCAACACAGTGCTAGGTTGCATTAACAGAGGGATAGAATCAAGATCACATGAAGTATTAATACCACTTTACAATGCCTTGGTAAGGCCACACTTGGAATACTTCATCCAGTTTTGGTCACCACGATGTAAAAAAGATGTTGAGACTCTAGAAAGAGTACAGAGAAGAGCAACAAAGATGATTAGGGGACTGGAGGCTAAAACATATAAGGAACGGTTGCTGGAATTGGGTATGTCTAGTTTAACGAAGAGAAGGACGAGGGGGGACATGATAGCAGGGTTCCAATATCTCAGGGGCTGCCCCAAAGAAGAGGGAGTCAAGCTATTCTCCAAAGCGCCTGAAGGCAGGACAAGAAGCAACGGGTGGAAACTAACCAAAGAGAGAAGCAACCTAGAACTAAGGAGAAACTTCCTGACAGTTAGAACAATTAACCAGTGGAACAACCTGCCTCCAGAAGCGGTGAATGCTCCAACACTG